GTCACTGAAATCGTCGGTTTTCCATGGAAAGAGGTTTTGAATGATTTCGTACCTAACGTAATGGATACATAGTGTAAATGTAAATGGTCTCATGGCTTTTGTTCGAATCATTTTAGGAACCTTTGACAAGGATTCAAAATTCTATGTCAATCTGCTGCAAGATACATACTAACATATTTGGGAATAGAGCAAAATGTGGATTCTTCAGAAAAAGAAAAACATAATAAAGTGTGCAATCGGAATGTGTTCCGATGAGTTCTGGTTTTCTCAATTTGGTAAACTTCTTGTGTATGTACTTGTTGACCTACTTAAATTGCAACTCTAAATTTTGAAAGTGTTCCAACAATAAGATAAACTTTGTAATTTCAAGTTTATCATATTTTATGCACACAGTCTGTGTTTCTCTAATACACTAAGATTAGATTCCCTTTTTAGTAATGAACATTGTGATTAAACAATGTTGGTTACACTTGCAACATCCGAATTATATCGACTTAATTATCTGCACTAGTCAAGTTTCTGATGGCTTCATGTGAATCGATAGCATGTCATTTCTGGTATGACCAAAACTATCACACTCTTGTTTTTGCCAGTTTATTATAGCACTTGACATCGGTTTTGTTGGTAAGATATATTTTGTTGACTTTCTATCCCTAGGAAAGCTGATAGCGCATATCATACATGTAGTAGAGATGGTCCACTTGATTATCACAGAATTATCTCATCCAGCTATGGTTATCTTCCACTTATGTAACTTATATCGGTTCTAAAAATTTTATGCTTGGCATTTATGATAGATTGAATCTACAGACATAAAACATGTCCCAGTTTAACCCCTATGTGTTGGGAAGTATGCATATAATTCTAGGAAATAAAATGTGGTGTTGGATCTTGTGCTTATTGAATATGAGATAATTTGTTTGAACTGAAGTTTGATTCAAGCTTTCTAGATGAGTTAATGAAAATAATTTATGATGTTAAACCTACGTTTCTGACAACTCTTCTTTGTCATTGTAACTCCTCTCCCAAAATCAGCTTAAAGTTTCGATCAACATAATTCATAATTGACCATGTCAATGCTGCTATTTCTGGTTTTCTGCAAATTTCATTTTTTTGCCTTTCATGTTCGACATTGTGTAGATATATTTGTTTGCATTCTATTAGCTTTCCTTGCTCTTGATCATTACTTTATATGAGATTATATGTATTAACATGCTTAAAAGGAAGAGATCTGATCAACGTAGCTCGGTGGCAGGAACAAAACAACACACCCAACACCAAATGTTAGAGACATATAGCTTTCATTTGTCATTCTCACAGTATATCTTCTACATTATGGTCCCCGTAATGAATGAGCTTCTGTTGGAGATTTTTGTCATTGGATCAAGATAAAATAATAAATGCTTTAGATATCAGCAAGAACTTGTGGAAGCATGTCAATGTACTCTACCCTTTTTGATTCTCGAGTTCGGAAACAGGCAGCTGAGGAGAGATTGAAAAGAGGACTAAAAGAATAGTTCCTCATTGGTAAATATTGAGAGAGTTAGTGACATAAATTGGGTTTGACTCACAATCTAATTGTTTAAGTTTTTTGATCGAGCCACACATGAATGGGGGTAGATGTTAGATTCACAACTAGTATCTTAAGCTTTTGGGTTTAATTGATATCTGACCTAATATATGTTTATCCTGTTCAGTTTGACTCGGATACATCGTTAATGAATTCCTAACACCAACAAGGAAGACAAACAGGAGATATGTGTGATTTACAAAAGATGTGGGTTTACAGTTCCGTCTTTCTCGCAAGTAGGAAATTCGCCTAATAATGATAATAATGCCTCATATATGAGATATATGTTTCAGAAACCACAACTTCTTGGTCACCCTGAGTCTAATCATTGTATTGTGATGAGTGGTTTCTTCATCTTTTTTAAGCATGAGGTATTTGATTGTTGAGAAAATATTCAATATAACTAGCTCCACTCCGTAAATCCTTTATCTGTTATGTCATCATAGCCTTTGGTATTGTTCGAAAGAACATTTTAAGTCTGAATAATGCATTGTTTTCTATGGTGTACTAAAGAATCTACTCTCTTCTGGTAAATTGTTTCTTGGCATCATGATGACTTTAAGAATTGGTTGCACCTCTTTCAAAATAGTGACTATATGATATGATAATTCATCCAAAGGACATCATTGTGTTTGTCTAGGCTGTTCAAATATTCCTTGGGAACCTGCAGATGAAAGATGTGAAGATGTTGCATCCTCCGAAGAGGACCCTGATGCCAGCGGTGGAGAAGCTGATATTTTAGAGATTGATCCAAGAGCCGAGGACAAAGAGCTGAAGCACCATCTGCTAAAGAAATATAGTGGGTATTTGAGCAGCCTTAGGCAAGAGCTATCCAAGAAAAGGAAGAAAGGAAAACTACCAAAGGAAGCCCGACAGAAACTGCTCAAATGGTGGGAACTCCACTACAAATGGCCTTATCCGTCGGTAAGAGTCAAACATTTCCTAGATTTTCCTTCTAACATCGAATTGAATATATTTGTTCCCCTAAAACAAAAGATTATACAATTGAAACTCTGATACGGAAATAAACCGATATCATGAATCCCAATCTTTAAATAGAACTGAAAAATTTAATGAAGCAGGAGTCTAAGAAATCATAAGAGATTCTGTTACGCAGTGTTCTCGGACGTAGTAATATTTTTGTTTTAAGAATACTTTCTGGAGCAATTTTAAATTTAAATTTAAATTTTCTTTTGCAAGGGCATGAGATAGTTGAGTGGTTTTGGATATTCTGGATCACATTATTGCCAGAGAATGCTACATAATTAAATTGAAAAGGAACTAAGCTCTCACAGCGAGGGCTCCACTAGTACCGGTCTAGTTTCTTTTTGCGTATCATAGTTATGTTTTGCTAAATTGTAATGCATAGGGCAAGAAGGCAGTTATAACTCATCTATGTGACCAAAAGCAGGAATCAGAAAAGTTAGCTCTGGCTGAATCGACCGGCCTCGATCAGAAGCAAATCAACAATTGGTTTATAAACCAAAGGAAACGGCATTGGAGGCCGTCAGAGGACATGCAACTCATGGTGATGGATGGTTTTCATCCGCAGAATGCTGCTGCCTTGTACATGGAAGGGCATTTCATGGGTGATGGTCTTTACCACGTCGGTCCATAATTAATGTACACCTACTTGCAAAGTTCCCCAGGTGCACATTAAATTCTCTCCATATGTAAGCTTTGCACTATAATCGGCTTATCGTTATGTTGCTTTAATCAATGTTTAGTGCAATGTTTAGGGCCGTTTGGTGTATAACCTATTAGTTTGGAAGTGTCTGAATACCACAAATTGTTATGATGACTATGTTGCTTCTTCTTATCTGTTGGAGCTACTTCTGTTTCATCCTATTCTGTTCTCCTGCAGTGGGATAGCTAAAAGCTATCGATTTGAGCTAAACTTAGCAATACATTTCTGAAAGCCACAATCCCCAGTAAACCAAATCAACCTGATCTTTCTGAGTCCCTGCTGAGGGGAAATCTTTGGGGTTTTAAGATTTCATTTGCCATCTTCATTTTTCATGGAACTTAAGGGTCATTTTGGCAGGTCAGATATACTGTACTGTGACCTTTCATTATGCATGGTAGTGTGTGACAACAGTCTTTTAGGTGGTGAAAGTGTAACTCTCTGCAAGTTAATGCTTGCAGTTTAAATTTAATTAGAGGCAGCCGCAATATGAGCTTGTGAAATCGAAAGATTGCATAAGTGCTGACTTTGTTTATATTGTGTGATATGTTGATTTAATATCAATCCTGTGGAAAAAAGTTGAGTTTTTGTGATGTTAATGGAAAAGGTTTAATCCTTATATTACAGGCATAATTTATGTAGGACAAGTTTCAAACCCATGCTATTATAATCCTAATCAACCAATCTAGTGTCTAATTCCAACAGCAACACTGATGTGCAACCTGATGGAACTTTCCTGGTATTTTTATGAATGTGAAGTTGGAAGTAGCATGACATGGAAGGTAGGAGTTCATACCGAAGTTGACAGCATCACAACTCAACCACACTTGATTGAGATGATGAAGCTGTTCCAGTGATGTGTGGTCTTGAGAAATAACTTTCATTTAATATAAGAAAAAAGGGTGTTTATTATACTGTATGTCCTGAAGCAGGTGCAGGTATTATTATATCTGTTAATTGATATCAATGATCGGATCAATCTGACTTGATCAGTGGTTAAGGAGTGCTGAAGCTCAAGGTGTGATATAGTCAAGCTTTGTTCAGCTTAAACCAATCAATAATCTAAAATACTTAAATCTAACTTAATAAATAGTAACTCACCAATCGTACTCTTATAAATTGATTTACATTTTTCATGGAACTAAACTGAGGGTAAAGAGTGACTGATAAGTTGTAGAGGAGCCAAAAAATAGTAGCCTGAGACAGGTTAAAAACTCAGCACTGATATCATCCCTGACTGGTTGCGTTCATGTCAGATGAGGTACCTTGCAGAGGATTGTCTGATACTCGAGTAAAGAAAGATTAGCAATGCATGAAAAGAAGCATCCGAATATATTCTCTCTCCCAATCAAAACAAGAGAAGAGCATCACTGCAACACCCTCAAAGTCATAGTTGGTGTTCATTGATTCATGCGTTCATGTCAACTTTAGCGCACACCACCACGCACTCTGAAAAGGCTCGATGCTCATCGTTGACAAGTTGCAGTGTTTGCATGCATTATGCAGTCATATGCTCTCCTCGTTTACGGTCCTAAGAGAAAAGGAGGGAGCTTTGCTACGTGCGGCATCCAATCTGCCGCAACAGCACAACCACAAGAGTCCACCGTCGGCCCAGAAGAAGACGATCAGTAAAGATGGGGACTGCTCGAACGGTAAAGTGAAAGCATACAGCTGCTGCGTTGCAGCGTCCCCCCAAACCTGATCGCCTCACCTTTGCAGTGGCTTTCAGGTGCTTTCCTCTGCTTGTGCATGTGGTTGCTTATAAAGCCCAGATTTGGAAGAACAAGCTTTTGCATTCTAACTCGAACTCCTCTCCCTTTGCCACTCATCATTTACTCGATCAAATCCCATTAAGAAATGGGACCTCTCGATCGTATCGGAACAAAAAGTCCACTCCGTCTTCTCCTCATAATGCTTTTCCTCTTGAGCTACAATCCGATCAAGCATTCTGTTGAAGGTAAGCTTGTTTTCTTTCTGTGGCTAATCACTTCCTTCTGACAGTACAGTAGTAAGTTTGCAGTGCCATGGTTGCAGGTAGATCATTGCTTACGCTTCTTGAGGTTGCAAGTGTAAGGCCTTCGCTCATTTCTGGTGAGAACTGCAATCTCTACGCCTGATAACAACATATGACTATCTTAGAATGCAGGGAAGGGGAGGGGAGAAGGCGACGGTAAGAGCCTTGGTTGGATCAAGACCACCAATCTGCGAGAGGAGGTGCATCACATGTGGCCATTGTGAAGCAGTTCAGGTGCCAGTAATCCCACAAGAAAAGAAGAGTCGAAGCAGGCAATTCTTGGGTACGGCCACCGTGAGGGGTGACTACAGCTCCAACTACAAGCCCCTGAGCTGGAAATGCAAATGTGGAGACTTGATCTTTGATCCGTGAGACTCGAAAAGTGAGCCACTACCAGATTAATGTCCTGTAGATAATAATACTTGATGGATTCCTTCTTTTCTTGTTGGATCTCTTCTTGAACCTGGGTTGTTTTGTGTGTCAAGTATGGATGTGGAGGTCATCTGTCTGCTTTTCAGTCTTCCCTGTAATCCATCTCCTTTTCTTTCTTTTTATCAGACATCATCATGTTGCCTTCCCTGTGACACCCAAGTGCTTGATCTCTTTTGCTTCTGAGGTTGGACAAGGGATAAAGAAAGATCCTTTAGCATCATATCATGCAGAGACTAGTAGTTGTCACAGACCTTGTAGACATGATCGTTTGAAGTGACAGGACAGGCTTCCTCTTTGGTGCCTTTGCTGCACGCCAGTCCATCTCCATGAAAGATCATGTCCATGTTATCAAGTTAACATGTTGCAAGCAAATGATAGACGGCAGCAAGATCTAGGTAACAAAACATCTCATCTAAGGAGACAACTGGGTGAGTTCAGTTCACCCTATAGGTCTCTTGCTCTTCTGTTTCAGTCTGTCTGTCGTCTTGGGTCTACACAAGCCATATATGTTGAAGAATGTGCATTGATGAGCCCGTTCGTTCATGCCATGGAAAAGATATCAATCAATACAGCATGATGTTTCTGCTCCACCACCTCTTCTCTTTGGTCTTTAGCCGGTGCCTGTTGTTCCTCTTCGATCCTTGCTTCTAGCAGTTGAATCCAATCATTTCAATAAGATACAGGACACACGAGAAGACTCATCTCTCCATGATTGCCTTCGGGTCTTCGTTCTCGATCGATCCACATCATGCAATCTGTCTTGAGGTGCAGATATGATAAATGTTCAGAGAAGGCTCCACAGAGAGAAGAAACAGAATCTTGTCTTTTTAATAGTCTGCAGGGCATATTTCTTCGCTGATAATACGGCTGTGATTCAATGCTGTTGTCAACTTCCACAAAGCAAGGCCAGAATGACAGAAGTGATGGGAGATCTGAAAGCTCGGAATAATTATTGAGTTAGCAAGGCTTGCGTTTGCAACAAAAGCATTGCTTGCAGATGAAGCACCATTAGCCATTTCTTGGGCAGTAGACTTCCTCTTCGACATCTGCGGTCTGAACAACCGGTCCTCCATGTTTTCAATATCCAGCATCAATGCTAACTTTGTCTATCTTTCAGAAACAACATTTCCTTCTGCATTCTTATCATCATGCACCAACAAATAGCATCTGAGAGAGCAATGCATTTTATCCTGCAAAGAAAAGGTGCATCAGCATATGGAATAATAAAGTCTTTATTATCAACTAAATATGGAATTATAGGCTAATGTAGGCGTAGGCTGGCATTGTTTAGCAGTGGATTGGCCTGAGAAATTTGGCCCACCGCGACAAGTAAGCCCACTTGACTCTTCACACAGGACAACATGACCCACCTCCCATACATAAATATTTCTTTGGCAAGATTGTGAATATTTGTATATCATACATTTCTATTTATTGTGTATATCCTTATAAAATGCAAAAAAAAACTTGAGAGTATGCGGTTAATTACTGTCACGCGACAATCATTTGACTGCCACTTGAAACTTGTAATATCTTTAAAAGCATATCATGATTATAGAATGAGAACTTTAGATATTTAAATATATTTTTAATTAAAATTGATATGCAAAGAATCCTATTCTTTTACATGCCACAAGTTGTCGATGTATACTATAAAAGGTAGCTGCTATGTAGCATGCGAGACATGACTTGGGTTTCATGCTGTCGAACGTACAACATAGTGTATAAGTGCAGAATAACGATACCTCGCAGTAGGTCGAAACATCAAGTGGAAATCCTTGGGGAGGCAGACAAGCAAAGACAGCCTTCGAGTTGTGGGTGAGGTGGGTAAGTTGTCGAAGGGAAGCAAAGGTTGGGTGAGTTGTTAGACAGCAGGAAAGCGATGGTGACCTCGGAATCTCAACCCAACCCAACCCCCTCCCCGCCCTTCGCCCTCTCACGCATTTCCACAACCACATTGCAGGTCGGACGACAGCAACCGGTGTCGCTTGTGGTTATGGCGCTTGGACACCAACAGAGGCAGACAAAAGGCCCTGTCCTGTGGAGAAACCTACAAAATCAAATGGGGGGTGGGTGTGTGTGCGCGCGCTCTGCGATGCCCCCCGACGCCCACGAGAAAAGAGCGCCATTGTTGCTGTGAGGGGCCGAGTGACATCAACCTTTCTCCTACCCCCCTCCTCGGCTAAAACTGGGGTGACCTCAATCTAAGTTTGTCTGCTGGTGCCCTTCAGGAATTCAAACCTTCAGCAGTGGCTGCAAGTTCTTATTGGTCCATGGGGCAAGCGACAGCCACGAGCATGGGTCCCCGCCCCTCAAAAGCCGCACCATCCTTCTCAGCTGGCTCATGGAGAACAGCAAAACCCCATTCATCCATGGTGGAGGAGGAGGAGGACGAGGTGGGAGCATTTTGTTTGATGTTTAACCAGGAGAGGCCCCATGCAAACATAGTTCCTCACAAGTAAACTCTTAGGAGCCCCACTTCACTTTATTCAAGTTTGATCTCGCTTTTTTGTTCCGGAGGGTCCCCAAAAAGGTAACACAAGATCACAACCTATCTTCTTCTTTCTCGATATTTCATATCAAAAGATGGTTTGGCAATTGCAGCACAAGCCTGAGAAAGGATGCAGCATCTCACACACCAAAAATATTGCAAGCTAGCTTCGTTGTCGATATGAACTTGGGGAGGAGACCACATAGTTCCTGGAGCTAAAAGTTATCTCAACACTGCCAACACAAGCCTCTGAAAACACACTGCAAAAGGCAATTGCATTGTCACAGCAGGATATATCAACTGAACAGCTCTAAAGCTTTATTCAAGTTTCATTCATCCAAAGGATCATCACAAAAAAGAAGGTGAACACAAGGCTACAAATTACAGTCTACCATCGTCACTCTCACACAGACACACACACACACTCTCTCTCGGTTATAGACTTCTAGCGTAATAAAAAACACATCTAGAAGACTACTAAATGAAAGCTTAGCCGAAGCACACGAAAACAAAAACAAAAAATTGCCTAGGAAACACTTCCCACACCTGTACAAAGAGAGGAAGACGAAAGAAAACGTTGTAGGAATGGGTCGGTCACCGCAACAAATCCGGCGCGCTCAGCTCCTTCCTGAGCTTGTGGGAGAAGAGGCGGCAGGCGTCCATGCTCAGGTCGATGGCGGCCGCGAGCGCCACAAAGGCTGCGGCGTCCTCGGTGCACCCAACTTGCTGCACGCCGACCTCCACCGTGGGCCGGCCGCTACGCCCCTCGCCGGCCACCGTCGAGGACATCACGAACCCGCGGTAGCTGGGGAAGGGCCAGAGCGCGTAGCCGAAGTCGCCGCTCCCCCTCGGGCTGCATCCCGGCGAGGTCGACCGGCTCAGAGGGGTGCCGGCAGCGCTGGTGAGGTCGATGGTGAACTTGCCGCCCTTGGTGGCGCTGAGGGTGGACTCCGCGAGGTTGATGCCCGCGCCCATGGCGGCGTCGGGAAGGAGCTCGAAGCGGTAGCCTAGGCCGTCGCTGGCGCCGGAGCCGCCGCGCTCGCGCCAGGCTTCGAGGCGTCCCCAGGGCTTCCAGGTGCCGTCGCCGGGGCGGAGCACGAGCCATGCCCCGGGATTAGAGCGGCTGACCCTGTCGGTCCCGTGGGAGGCCACGAAGGGAGTTACCATGGAGGCGAGGGCTACGGGCGACCCGGAGAGGTCGTGGACCGTCACCGACCACCCCTTGCGTTCCTTCCCCGGCCGTTCCCGCTCCGATCCAAATGAAGAGATCCAGCTCCGCGAGCTCCCCGGCTCCGAATGCATCGATCTGCATCATAACATTTCGACTTTTGTGTCAGATCACAACAGATCAGATGTAAGATAATGCATCAGGAAAGAAGAACAAAATCCCAATCTTGATGAAACCCTAAAGAAAAAAAAACCAAGGAAGAGGGAATAAAGCAAGAAGATGAGGAATGGGGCAAAACCTGGAATTCAAGTTGCGGTCGCCGGCATTGCGGCAGCTGAACTTGCAAGTGAAGACGGGCTGCCTCAGGTTGCCCTGCACCTGGAACACCTGGGGGCTGCACTCGGGCTCCCCGTCGAACTCGAACACGAACCGCGGGTCCGGCACCGCCTTAACCGTCAGATATAACTGCGCCGGCAACGAGGAGGAGCCCTTCCCCGCCCCCGCCTTCGTCTTCTTCTTGCCCAAGGCGACCCACCCGCTGTGGAACACCACCGCCCTGCTCCCGCCGCCATCTGCCATCCCCTTCAGGTCGAGCGTCACCGTCACCCTGCCGAGGAGCCGGCCGGAGCTCACCCCGCAGGTGGTCCCCCTCCGGCCGGTGTAGACGGAGACCTTAAGCTTGACGCGGCCGCCGCGCCCTCCGGCGAACAGCGAGGGCTTGGCCGAGATCCGGTCGAGTTCGGCTTTAGACAGGTGGAAGCGGGCGGCGAGGGCACCAGAAGCGGACGCGGACGAGGAGGGGGTGGCGGGTGGGTCGGCGGTGGCGTGGTCGTCGGAGGGGACGAGGGGGACGGCGACAGTCTGGCGTGGGGATTTGCCGAGGCGGATCTTGGCAAAGCATGGGGAGGCGGAGGGGTGGACGCCGGCCCCGGCGGGCCGCGCGGCCACCGGAATCTTCAGCGCCAGGTTTCCCACCAGGAGCCGGACGAACGGGCACGGCTCCATCTCCTTCCTTCCTCGTTCCTTCCTGCTCCAATCTCAATCTCCTCCTCCCAGGAGTTTAAAGAGAGAGAGAGAGAGAGAAGGGGGGGTCAACGAGTGGCGACGACACACTCACGCAGGCACAGGCTGGCGAGGTAGAGGGCGAGTGGAGAGGGTTCGGGAGGGGAGTGGGGGTCGGGGAAGAAGAGGAATCCGTGGGAAAGCGTGCGGCACGGCATGAGCTGGTGACGCCCTCCGACCCCACTCGTACGTGCTCTCGTCCTTTCCCTCCATTAATTTACTTACCGTACCAGTAATTGCATGCTTTGCTTCACAAACTCGCATATCAAATTCGCTCCTCTCCCATCTCCATGCTTTTTTTTGTGTATACATTTCCATTCTACGAGATTCCAAGAAAGTACAAAAGAGACGAGAGATCAAATGTAGCATTCATCTTTGGGGTTCGGTCGCATGCTGTGCTGCTGGAAAAGTGAGACTGTGGGCAGGAGGAGGAGCGATAGGTGGGTGGAGCAGCCAATTCAAACGGAGAATAAGATATGGCATCCAGCTGTGGACAGGCTGTTGTTGTTGTTGTTGTCGTTTGGTCTCGCGACCGCGACGACTTGGAAGCCCAACCTCATCGACGACATCACCTCCTCTCTTAACTATTATTATTTGATGCGGAAGTGTGAGTAGCTGCCACCCTGCGAGGCTTCGCTTCGTTTGTGGCGGTAACACTGCGGCGGAGATTCCTCGTCGGGCAGCCATTCCCTCTCCCTCCGCCGCTGGGAAGTAGTTCAGTCGAAGATAAGGCTTGATCGAGTTCTACACCAAAATCCAGCTTATTGAAGACTTAAGAAGGATATAAAACTGAGCAGAAGTCTGACAAAAAGACACAAGCATGCATGCATGCATGCGAGACTGATGAAGTTGCATAGAACATACATAATTGACTGAGAAAAAGTTACGCCAACTTGTGCAGTACATTTATAGCATATGCAGCGGAGTATGTTGTAGTCTATTTCTTGTCACGTATGTCGAGTGATAGGTCCGAGCAACTTGTCATTTGGCTTCACGGAGTAGCTGAGCAAACTCTCTGCAGTCATCAAACTCATTAAACGACACAGTGAAACAACTATTGTCATCCAGAACTCATATTACGGGAAGTTTTGTTCCAAGTGAAAATATTAATGTTTTAACTGAATACAATAGTTTTTTCTTTTTTTTTCAATTGAATAGAAAAACAAAATGATACTAGACATGTTTACCCTTAATCGGTGATCAACATGTGACAACTCAGTCAACTCATATGACAACCTAATCAACTCAACATAGAGAGATGAGGGTCCCAAATCAACAACATAAAAAGCTCATTAGACTAAAGTAATTGAGGTGAACAGTATCTATTCAAACTTCTTCCTACTCTTATTAACTTGAGTGATGAACCCACCTGACCTTGATTTTCTTATAGGTCGACACCGGATCGGACATCTAAGAACCCTAGGCACACTCGAAGGCTTTTTACGCACATGGGCCTGAATCAAGTTCAGTTGATCCAACAATAATCGAACTTTCAAATGCTAATGAAATTACATCTCAATCCAACAACTAAGTGTGTCATTATAATCAACTCGGGAAAGTTCCTCAGCTTTATTATTGTTGAATATCATATTTTAATGATGAAACTAATTGATAGTATTTATGATTTGATCTGCGTTTTGAGTGACGCAGGAAGCTTCGATCAAGGAAAGACAATTAAAGCATGAAAAATCATGTTAGGCCGGAGAAAAACATATCAGAAGATTGGACATCGCGTCGAAGGATCGGTCGATGTATCGACAGAAGACTTCGGGCCATGAGTTCGGGCATCGAGCCAAAAACAGCAGATATTGTGCTAATGAAATCAGAGTTGCAGAGATCAACTGGTCGATTGGGCAATAAGCCGTAAGAGAGGACGATGCACCCAAGAATCAAACGAAGCGTCGATGAACCAATGACATGCCGGACAACATTTGATTAGCTTAGTAATAATTGTCTAGATCGAAGTGGGTTTTAAGTATGCAGGATTAACTATGATAGCAAGGCATAAAGCAAAATGAAGTCCCGGAATCTAAAAGAAAAAATGAGAGAACTCTACATAAACCTTGAGTTCCCTCCTCCTAGTGCTTAGAGTTAGTCGTAAGGGAGGTGTGTGAGGGAATACTTGTAAAAGAGTGACTTGTAAAGGTTATCTCCTAAACCTGTGAAAAGGAGAAAGTGTTGTAAGAGGGTAGTTGATCTTCACCCATTGAAGGAAGACTGATAGCGGATGTCGGTGGCCTCAACGAAGGAGGAATCGGAAATGAATGTAGGTCACGACGATCGAACCACTATAAAATCTGGTTTGTATTTATTTTGAGCAATTTACTTTCATAGCAAACTTCCTCCTTACTTTGCTTTCACTACGTTTATGAACAAACACGTATTCAAGTCAAGCACATTTATGAAATCAATTTTTATCGAACGAAGAATTTTCAAACCGACATTTTTATTACTACACTAATTCAACTCGCCCCCCCCCCCCTTCTTAGTGCCGACTGGTTCCTAACAATTATACACAAACATAAATTAGATGCTAATCTTGATAAGAGATTCACCTCTCTTGGTCAGTCAAGGAGGTGCAATAGCTAACGAGTTAGGTAGTAGTCCTCAGTCATTTTCTCTTAGTTAGGTGACAAGTGTTGGGAAATCTGGGAGAGCATCATATGTACAGTAGAAAAATAAAATAGAAATCAATTTCCTAAAAATAGATTTATATCAAATTGCAAATGATGATTAGGAACGAAAAACTCATCAAATCAAAAACTATGTAAGACATGAGACGATCTCAAATAAGGGAACTCGTATATCCCTAATTTGTAGATCTCAGTCCATAGATAAAGGAGATCTCATATTATCCTCTCTAGCGGTGATCCATACGGTGGATGAAGCGATGACACACCTCCTCTTACGATGCATTGTCTCCTTATTTTTGTGCACTACCACCACACAATAGGGGCAATCCTTCTCGCTGCCCTCTCGCACTAGAGAGGGGGCAATCGATTGAGGAAAGGGAGAAATTAGGGAGGTGGCAGTTAAGGGGTCCAACCTTTTAACCTTTTTAGTCATATATCTCTTTTATAGAGAACTCTTACTACTATCCTTAATGGATCCTCCCATATTGGGTACTAGATTTCCATCTAATTACCCTAGCATATTGGATACTGAATCTCCATCAAATTATCCCTAGTTTAATGGAAATCAGATCTTTATCGAATTATCCATTATAAGCTCTTATTGTGTCTCACCCAACAGATCCAATAAAACATGGGTTTATTGGATATCACATATCAAATCATCTATTCGTCGCGTCATCTACTATATATATGTGACCCTCTAGGCCTAATACTAAGTTGGTCATGAGTTACACATATCAGAACTCCTTCTGATATAGTGAATTATTATAATAATTCACTCAACTTATTGACTATGGACGTACTAGGCCATTACGCCATAGTCCCTAAAGGGTACAGGGAGAACTAATCAATCGAATATATTTGCCCTCGATTATCATATATCTATAGTCCTTTATCTATCTAATATCTTAGAGATTATATACCAAGCATGGTACTATTAGACCCATATGGAATCTACTCGAGTCTCGCTCTAATCGGATTCTCCCGGAGAACTCATTTTCTCTTAATCTGAATGACCCTAGCTAGAGATTTACCTAAGCGAGAACACATGAGATATTTCTCTCGATACCGAGAGTGGATGATCCTCTATTGATACTCAATTACTCTCGTAAGATTGACTACCACTCCCGATGACTAGTTATGCTAAATTTGGAACTTCTAGGCCTATAAGTCTGATATCAAAGAGCGGAGTACTCATACAGGATTTCATTGGTGTCTCAAGTCTAAGGAACAGATACACAATTGGGATCACAGAACCGTTGTCTGACGATGGGATATTATTGACCATTCAACATTCTGTGAGTGGATCATTCAATGAACTTATTCTCCAATAAGCACCTGCACTATATCCTCAGTATCCCCACACAAGCAACTATGAGACTAACTACTTTCGGATGGGTATATAGTACACCGATCTCTTCGATTATCTCAATGTCCCCCTCGAGTAATATATGATCGAGAATATTAAATATTTAGGGTTTGTGTTTATAGGTGAATTAGTCTCATTATCATGATTCCATCATGATTCAATTCTAATTGCACAAATTCATAGACATCATAATATATCAATCAAATAATATAAAATAATAATAATAATAATAATAATAATAATAATAATAATAATAATAATAATAATAATAATAATAATAATAATAATAAAACTATGTAATGTGTCACACATGTCATCACTCATGTGATTGGCTTGTAGGACACTTGTAATTAGCAACAAGTACCTCCCCTTTTTCCAAGCACTCGGAGAATTTGAAAGGCTTCACATGGACTAAGGAATGTCAAACAACCTCGGTCCAGCTCATGAGTAGAGATGAGCTACAATACCTATCGATTAAGAAGGTGGTGAGGAAGCTTTGGTCATTTTTTCATGTGAATGTGATCTATGTGGTCACGATTAACCACTCAAGTGAGTCCTCTCTTGGCTCAACTTACTAGGCAGATTGTTGAGATGGTCAATTGAGTTAGGAGAATTTGACATCCAATACATCAGAACATCCCAAGAATAATAATCAAATCTCTGGTGGACTTCATCTTCAACTCACCTAATGATGCATCAACACCTTAAGGATGGACCATGTTTGTCGTACGAGATGACAACTTTGAACAATGGGGAACTAAACTTATTAAAGAGATAAGCAATGCTAGTCATAGATGCCCTGCAAGCCAATCACGTGAGTGATGACACATGTGACATGACGATAATGAGTATATTGTGATGTCTATAGATTTTATCGCTTTATATTTTATCTTTTGTTTATTATATTATTTGACATTGTATCACTTTATATTGCTTATTGCATGAATATATTGTGATCTCTATGGATCTATGCAATGAGAATTAGATCGTGATGAGATCACGATAATGAGATCGATTCATCTTTAAATACATATCCTAAATAATCTTGGTCATAGGTTACTCAAGAGTGACATCAAGATAACTAGACATACTAGTGTACTGTATACCCTTATATATGATAGAAGTGGCTGGTCTCATAGCTACTAATGTAGGGACACTAGGGATACAGTGTAGGTGCTCATTGGAGAATGAGTTCATGATTGATCCACTCACAGAATGTTGGATGGTTGATGATGCCTTATTGTCATACAGTGATTTCGTAATCCTAGTGGTGTATC